AAATTGACTTACCGGTAATTTAATAAGAAATATTTGGTAAAGTCGCTAAAGGGTTTTATTTATTATGGAAAATACAAGATCCTCATAAACTTAAACAATATTTTTCCTTTATCTTCATTATTTTTAAGTATTAAATAAATTGGGTCATATATTTAAAAATGTCAATACGTTTTTAGATATTTCATTAAGCGAAAATTATCGAATCCACAAAATTGAAAATTTTATTACCACTACTTATACAGGGTGATCCATTAACGGTACCAAGCGGCTGTATATAGAAAACTAGACGTCTATTTTCATAGGACATAGTCTGCCTCGTTATGGAAACAATATTCTTTATAACTACTCAGATATTTGGAATTAATAAAAAAAAAATTAAACATTGCAGTTATAAAAAAAATTCAAAATATAGCAAGTACTTTTTTAAAGACAAGCTTGTTGTAGTTTAAAAATTTAATTTTGGCTTGGACTATGTCATTGTTATTTAAAGAACTAAATAAACGAGCATGTTCTAGCACAATTTCACTTTTTTAGCAATTACTTGAAAATGAAAAAAGATATTGACCTACGGTGTGTGTATTTGTTTTCTTAATAAATGGTTTGGTAAAGCCAAAAAAAACCCTATATCATTGCATTTAATTTTTTTAGTAACCAGAGACACTTACAAAGCTTTTCTAATTAGCGTCCTCTACCGTTGCGCAGGAAAATAATATTTTTATTCCCATATCATAAATATAACTTTTATTAATAGTCCGGCCAAATTAGACCAAAAAATAAGAGTAAAGGTACATAAATTTACAACAAGCTGAAAGTGAGTAAAATTGTTTAAAACATAATTAAAAATAACATATTAAAATTCCTCGTCGTTCCCGTTCTCGGAAAAAAATTTACTCGAGGTCAAAGATCAAAAAAATGTTTTTTTTGCGATTTTCAGCTAAACGGTAAGTTTTATCATAAAATTACTTCCAACAAAAATTGTAGATCATAAAATTATCTATAAAAAATGTGTCAATACTTTTTTCCTAAGAGCCACCGTTCCTGAGGTATAACGATTCAAAAAGTTGTAAAAGTTGTAATCGTCATAATATGCATAAGTACGCCACGTATACAGGGTGTAACGTAAAGGTTGGGAATAAATTAAACAGTGGATTCTTTAGTTTAAAAAATAATTTTTTGTTATATGAAGTTATGTTCTACGGGTTTTCTTTTCCAAGCTACAGGGCGCTAAAAAAATTCAAAAAATTTAGTTTTTCTCCAATAACTTTCGAACATTAGAAGATAATGGAATGAAATTTTATCCATAGCTTAATTTGATAATCCCCTAGTAACAGGAAAAAGATTGGCTTTGTAAGTTACTCAGTGGCGTGCGTACGTATTACACCGTAAAGTTTTTCGAAGAAAATTGTGGTACGCCACTGGTAAAAACATTTTTTTAATATTTTTGTGTAATCTACATTTTATTTTAAACAAAATTACCCTCTTGCGTTTTATTCCTAGCTCTTGTCACTTTTCCGTAAATAAACGTTTTGTAAATACCATTTTTTCCTATTGCTAACATAGGAAAATGAAAATAAAAACATTATAAGTATGCTTTGACCAAGCCACCAAAATTTGTTTTCAGATGTTTTCAGACAAAACATCATTGTCAGTCATGACATCTAGCTTTCCTTAAGCGGTTGTACTTTGGTTTAGATCTGTTAGAAATGGAATACTCATTTCCAGAATTAGCAGATATGCATTTTATTTACAGCCTTGCCAAGGGGAATACTATGTTAGCTGTGCGTCTTTATGTTGAACGTTTTCCAGCTCGGTGTATTCCAAATAGGAAGACTTTTTCGAGAATTCATGTGCGCTTACGTGAAACCGGCTCGTTAAAACCTTGCACCTCCGGCGGAAGATCTCGAAATGTAAGGACAGTACAACTTGAAGTACCACATCCTTCAGATGATCGAGGTGAATCGTAAATCAAGTAGGTACTAGAAGAATTGGAAGAATGGAGAGAGTAAGTCATATGACTGTCCAACGAATCCTGCATGATAATCTGCAAAGAGTTCAGGCGCTTTCTGTCGAAGATTATGCACCACGTCTTAGATTTTGTACCTGGTTTTTAAATAAGTGCAATCGGAACTTGTTATTCCACCCATCCATTTTATTTACCGACGAAGCTGGATTTACAAGGGATGGTATAATTAATTTCCACAATAGTCATATGTGGGCTGATGAAAATCCGCATGGAATAATACAATCCCGGCACCAGCAACGATTTTCAATTAATATTTGGGCCGGAATAATTGGCGATTTTTTTTATTGGCCCCATAGTACTACCAAACAGACTAGGCGGTTTATCGTATCTGGATTTCCTTCAAACAGATTACAACCTTTATTAGAAGAAGTTCCAATTGAAACACGCCAGAACATGTGGTTTATGCATGACGGCGCCCTCAATGAAACGTTCCCCAATAAATAGATAGGTCGTGGAGGGCCAAAAGCGTGGCCTGCTCGTTCTCCCGGACTTAATCCATTAGACTATTATGTGTAGGGGGCACTTAAAAAACATAGTTTATTCCGTTCCCATTTCTGATGTACAGATTCTTCGTCAAAGAGTTGAAATTGGCTGTCAGCAAATTCGAGATATGCCTGGTATTTTTGGACGAGTAAGAGAATTTATGAGAAAATGCATTGAAAAATGTATTGTAAGTTGGGGGGGCAATATTTTCAGCACCTTTTGTAATCTTGTTCATTACTTCTTATTACCTACTCAATAAATTCTTTAAATTCCAAGTCACTAGTTTTTTTTTTATTATTGTTAAAATAATGTGATATTTTAATATCATTTTCAAAACAAACAAGTCTTTTTTAATGCGTGTTTGACCATTTTCGGTAGCTGAGTCAAAGCATACATCATAATGTTTTTGTTATTTTCATTTTCCTATGTTAGCAGCGGGAAAAATGGTATTTGCAAAAGTTTTATTTACGGAAAAATGACAAGAGCTAGGAATAAAACACAAGAGGGTAATTTTGTTTAAAATAAAATGTAGATTACACAAAAATATTTAAAAAAATTTTTTACCAGTGGCGTACCACAATTTTCTTCGAAAAACCTTACGGTGTAATACGTACGCACGCCACTGAGTAACTTACAAAGCCAATATTTTTCTTGTTACTAGGCGATTATCAAATTAAGCTATGGATAAAATTTCATTCCATTATCTTCTAATGTTCGAAAGTTATTGGAGAAAAACTAAATCTTTTGAAATTTTTTAACGCCCTGTAGCTTGAAAAAGAAAACCCGTAGAGCATAACTTCATATGACAAAAATTTATTTTTTATACTAAAGAATCCACCGTTTAATTTATTCCCAACCTTTACGTTACACCCTGTATACATCTCTGATGCTGTAATATAAGTAAAAATATTTTTCCATCGGTGATTGTAACTTACACTTAAAATATAAAATATACATAAGTATAACTATGAGAATATTAGGTAAAATGAAACTCAACCCCTTAATTTATACGCCAGTGTAACTTTGAGACAACAACTGTCTCCCTGTTCAATTGTGTGCGTGGCAAGGGTCGTATACCTGTTTTATGTTAGAATGCAATTAGAAGTGCAATCAGCTTGTCTTCCTCCAACCTCAGTTGCTGCTCATCAACATCTTTTTCAGGTATATTACCAAGTTCAAGTGTGGCTTGGTTATCAGGTAGACCCAAAAGACTGGGGTTGGAAGTTGGTCGACAATACATTAGAACCAATTCAGACTTTACTCCCACCTGCGCCGGAAAAACTGCTAAACACAATTTTTTTGCAAATGTAAAAAGGGATGCAGTGCTAAATGTGGTTGCAAAAAAGTTGGACTGTTTTGTTCTCTGGCATGTACAAATTGTCAAGGCCGGTCGTGTTCTAATGTTGAATCAAACGAATCCTCGTTTGATACGAAGAGACATGCGATACAGCACTATTGACGCAATTTACTTACACCCAGAATGAAGAAGAAGAAGAAGAGCAAGAAGAAGTATTTGAAGGTTATGAATCAGACGAATAAATTCCTCTACTTTTTTTAATTTCTATCGCTTTTATCATTTCCAACCCTTGCTAATATCTGTTATTATGCAATAGTTTCAAACTAAAGAGAATCACAACAGACCTGTGGCATAGGCCTACTGGGGAAACCTCGTTAAAAAAACGCGCTAAGTACAACACTATCTCATAGGTGGCGTGGAAACGTTATTATGACGATTACAACTTTTACAACTTTTTGAATCGTTATATCACTGGTGGCTCTTAGGAAAAAAAGTATTAATACATTTTTATAGATAATTTTATGATAAAACTTACCGTTTACCTGAAAATCGCGAAAAACCCATTTTTTGACCTTTGACCTCGAGTAAATTTTTTTCCGAGTACCGAAACGATGAGGAATTTTAATATGTTATTTTTAATTATGTTTTGAACAACTTTACTCACTTTCAGCTTGTTGTAAATTTATGTATCTCTGAATGTCTATATTGACCGGACTATAATAGTTCTTTAAAATAAGCCGTCGTTTCTTGAAATCGATTTAGACATTTAGAAGTTATGACAATTTAAAAATTTCAAGATGGCGTCCTATGATAATAACAAAAAAAAAATTCAAACAAAACTTGTGAAGGGTTTAACAGTGTATCTAAAAGTGTATTTTCAACTTAGGTTATATAAGCGAAATTTCGAAAAAACGACAATTTTCTGTAAAACTATAGCAGTTGCTCTAGCGGTGAAGTTGCCAACTTGAAAATATTTTAAATCAATTTCTTTTGCCCGTATTTGTTAATATATTTTTTACCCCATAATCGTAGCACGTCTAGTTTCCCATATTCAGCCGCCCGTACCGTTAAAGGGTCACCCTGTATAAATCTTATAGCTAAATATTTTTTCTTGTTATGAAAGCGCAAAAATCAAAAGAAGTTAAATGGTAAAAAGCCTCATGTAGATAGAAATGATTCGACTGGGAATGTATTGTTTTAAATTTTCCCCGCGAGAACCAGTTTCTTCAACAAATATCTCTTCACTTTCCTGGAACCTGCAAAATACGATTCGCCTATAAATTTTACACCTGCTTTTAAGTGAAACCGTTCTGGCATCCTTTCAGCTATGAATCTCTCTATGTCTTTAGAAGTGACATTCTTAAAGTTATCTTTTAGGACTACCAATGCCATGGGATGTTCTCCATCTGTTTCATGGGGGATACCAATAACCGCTGCTCTTTTGACAGCAGGGTGAGTTAATAGCTCTTCCTCCAAAAAAGCTGGCGGTGTATGCCAGCCTTTATATATTATCATGTCCTTAATTCTGTCAACAATAAAAAAGCAGAAATCTTCATCGTAAAGCACTTCATCGCCGGTCTTGAGCCATCCATCTTCATCGAACTGATCGCTGCTATCCACGTTGTAGTAGCCAGACATAACTGTATTGCTTTTTACACGAAACTCACCAGGTTTATTGGGACCTAAAACTTCACCGGTAATTACATCCACTACCTAAAATAATAAAAATAGCAAAGGAATATGTTCTATAATAAAATTATTAGAAATAAATGCTCAAGAAGTAGGACCTAGGAAGTTTACTTATTTTCAGGAAACGAAGCAGTCTCAATAAACAAAAACAAATCTATATTTAACATTTCATATCATTCAAACCAAATTACAGTCGTGTATACAAGGTGTTTTTAAATGAAGTAGCAAAAATGGTACCAGTGAATGTAGAGCCAAAAATAAGAGGATTGAAGTAAAAATACATTATAATGAAAGTTGCACCCCTGGGGCAAATACCCTCTTAAAGGAAATTCACATTTTAATTTTTTTCTTTAACATGGGGAATGCTAGAGACACAAAACTTGGTATGAGCATCCTACTAATAAAGAGACAACTTTTCAATATTTGTTCGATCATTGGCGTATTTTATAAAGGCGTGAAACAGTCAACCCCATTGCAATATTTTATTAGATTTTTTTTATATGAAGCAAATTATTTATTTAAAAATACTTATAGCAATTTTTCGATAAAACCGATAGTTTTCTAGTAAAAAAATTAGATGCGTCATCATTCAATAAAGGTGTAATTGCGAAAATTTGTAAAAATAAAGTAGGCGGATGTCATAACAAATAAATTGTTATTTATCATATTAATAAATTAACACTTTCTGTCAACCAATAATTAGTACCAATTGATTAATTTATTATCAGAATAATTATGGCAAATAATATTTATACCAATGACGAATATGTCGACATGCTGCAAGTGTTTTTCGAATCCAGAAAAAATAGTAACGCTGCAGTAATGTTAACCACCAAAAGTATCCAAACCGATCGATTCCTCATAGACAAACATTGACCTCGGTGGAAAAAAGGCTTTGCGAAACTGGTAAAATTCAGCTCAATCGTGAGGGTACCGGATAAAGGCGTAATGTCCGAACAGTTGAAACTGTGGAACTGGAACATCTAGAACAAGACTGTACAAGCACAAGCCAGGTGTCCAGGCAACTGCAAGTTTCTCAGTCTTGTGTGAAATATAGCTCATGAAAGTCTTTTATACCCTTTTCACCATCAACCCGTGCAAGAATTGAATGATCCTTATTTACCTAACGGCGTGGATTTTTGTCAATGGTACATTAATATTTCCAGGCATGACTTAAATTTCCTAATGAATATACTTTTCACCGATTAAGCAATTTTTCCTAGAGGTGCGGTAAACCTTCATAATGTTCATTCATAGTCGGAAGACAATACTCATGAAATATTTCTTTCAAGATGTCAACATAATTTCAGTTTAAACGTTTGGATGGGAATTGTAGGAAATATTAGGTCCTTTTATTTTTCCACAGAGGCTGGAGCGGCCGAGTATCTTAGATTTTTGAACGAAAATCTTCCAACATTACTTGAGGATGTACCCCTTGCTACACGTCAGGTGATGTGGTATGTGCACGATGGGGCGAGTGCACATAGTACACTTGCCGTTAGAGAATAGTTAAATTTAAATTACCCGAATCGCTGGATTGATCGTGGTCGTGATGCCCCTGTTTGTTGGCCTGCACGTTCACCTGACCTAACGCCTATAGATTTATTTTTATGGGGACACATAAAAAGTATTGTTTATGCCACTCCTGTTGCCTCCTTAGAAGAACTACGCTTAAGAATATTTCAGGCGCAGATGACCTTCGCAATAACCAAGAACTGTTTGTGCGAGTGCGTTATAACTTCAACAGACGTATTAGGTTATGCTTGCAGCAAAATGGAAATTATTTCGAGAATATTCTTTAAATTTAATTTTGCATTTCTTGTTTTTCGTTTGTATTAAATTTTATTTGAGATAAATAACTTAACCTAATACACGTCCCATAGTCATAAGTTATCAAACATTTTTCATTAATTAATAGCAAATTATTCTTAATGTTATTATTAAATAGCTAGCTTATTGACAGAAAGTGTCAATTTATTAATATGATAAATAACGATTTATTTGTTATGGCATCCGCCTACTTTATTTTTACAAATTTTCGCAATTACCCCTTTAGTGAACGATGACACATCTAATTTTTTTACTAGAAAACTATGGGTTTTATCGAAAAATTACAAGAGGTAAAAAAATTGCGCAATAATCAGTTTGCCCAATAAATATTTTTTAAATAAATAATTTGCTTCATATAAAATTTCTAATAAAATACTGCAATACATAATTAAACTGAACTTAATACCAATACAACCGACGGTAAAACCTATGAATACCAAATTTTTGCTAACATATGTAACCTCTTTCTGTAATAAATCTACACTTTTTAGAATTCTCTCAACAGGTATCTTTTGATGTGTGTTCATATATGCATTAAGTAAATAATCTGTAAAAATGTTGGTATTTTTAAGTCTATGTTTCCGGATGCAAATCATTAGCAAATTTTAAGCATTGGCAATAAATAAATTATTGTTTACCTTATAGGAATTACCATAACCATTATAGGGTACACCTATACTACCAGGTTTTTTTCTGTTATATTCTCTATGCAAATCACATTTACTATACGTTGTAAGGCAGCCAACTTCCGTTTGACCATATAAGAGAAAAACATCAACGCTGGGCAGTAACTCTTGAAAATTTTGGTGATACTGTTTAGATAATTTACAACCAGTAACCAGAATTGTTGTTAAGTTAGTCAAATCAAGATTTGTTGGCTTTCCAGCATTGTACATTTCTATTGTATGTAGTGGAATTAAAAATGCTAGATTTACCTAAAAAAGTAACAAAATATATTTTAAGTATCTAAAGTTTCTAAAATACAACAATTGTTTAATTACTATATGCTATATTGTGACAGTTATATCTAACAGGTCGATCATATTTACCCAATATAGGAGGATGATCACATGAATTAATGAAATTAAATATACTTTAATGAAATGTTTAATTTACATAATATCGAAGTTGAAAAAGAAAACCGAATTTTGAAAATATTTCAAGGTCAATTCTGAAATAAAGGAAACCTATTTAATTTTTGAGTAAAAATTTATAGTGACTTTAAACAATTTACTGATAGGATGATCAATCTTTATAGCTGTCTATTATACTAAACAATAAAAGAGTATCTTATTTGCAACTGTCGACATTTTGATCGTATTTCAAAGTACGTCTGATAAGTCCATTCCTTCAAGTAATAAGAAAAAGTTGTATATTGAATAAATAAAAATAGGAAAAGTACTTTTTTCGCCTAGCATATGTAAAAATCAATCGTGTACATAAAGATCTGAGCTAGCATGTTTTCCAAGCTTAATTTGAGGTAGCATGTTTTCGTAGTAACGCGTCGAGTTTTTTAAGGAAGCACTTGGTTCGGAATATCTTATGATGAAGGCAAACTAAGTTGAATTAATTATGCATTGCATTATAGGTTTCTCTTATTATGGGATTATACGAAGCTGGTCGTCGAAATGTTGTTGAATATGAAACTTGACCACATACCTAGATAATAGAGGAGACGTATTGATTGTTACAGTTCCACAAACAGAATAGTATATTAAGCATTAAGAACGGTAAGGGTAATTTACCGTTCGAAGACAATGTTTGGAGGCTGAGCAAGCGAAGCCTCCAATTTTGTCTGAGAACGGTATAACTCTTAACGTTCGTGATGCTTATACTATTTTTTGCACGATCGCAATAAATGAAAACGAAATTATATATACGTATTTAATTTTTTATGTAACGTCAAAAATGACGTTTCTGAATAAATTTGCGAAGCAGGTTTTTGAAATCTACTGATGTTTATTGTTGTCACGGCTTTCTTAATTGACGGAACTGACAGTTCTAGAACCGATAGCTATGGTGTTATTTATTAATAATTGATAGTTCTCAAATTTTACGACGCATTGTTGCATTTACGAGAATTTAAGAAAGCAAAGTGTTGGTAAAATGAGCGATTCGTCTTTAGATGCAGAGTTAGAAGAAGCGTGGAGTGTTGGATGTTCCACATTAATTCCTGAGAAATCAAGGAGCGCTATGAAAATACATACAAGATTTTCAAGAAATGGTGTGAGACAAAAAACCAACATATTACCGAGAAAGTTATGGTGGCGTACTTTGTCCAAAGGAACGAAAAATTAAAAGCTCTAGGAAGCTTATGGGCAGAGTATTCAATGTTAAAAAGGACAATTTTTGTTCATGACTCGCTTGACATTTCCAAATTTTCGAAATTAATTAGCTACCTCGAACGGAAAAATGTTGGTTACAGACCAAAAAAAGCCAGTGTGTTACTAAGAAAGACATGTCGCAATTCCTAATTGAGGCACCAGATGACAGATATTTAATTCATAAGGTAAATTTGGATGATTTTACATGAATAGGTGCTAAGTATCGTTTTGCATTTTAGGTAGCATTGATATTAGGAATATCGGGAGCATGTCGAAGGGAAGAGTTATACAATATGACCATTCAGGATATTGACGACCAAGGAACATATATAATTGAAAAAATTCCGCAAACAAAAACAAATATTCTACGAATATTTACTGTTACAAACAGACAGGATGAAAATATCCATTATTTAGAAATTTACCGCAAGTAAATATGCGGCCAACAAATACTAAATCTTCGCATGTATTTTTGAATTATCGCAATGGAAGGTGCTACAACCAGGTAGTGGGAAAAGGAACAATTGGACAGTGGCCGTCGAAGATAGCCGAGTATTTAAAACTACAAAATCCTACAAATTATACAGGTCATTCGTTTAGCCGTACTTCAGCCACCCTCCTAGCAAATAGAGGTGTGGATGTGCTCGGGTTAAAAAGGCATGGGGGATGGAAATCTTCAACCGTTGCCGAAAGCTACGTCGAAGATTCCCTTCAAAATAAACTACAGTATGCAGATAAAATTCTTCACGATAATGACAACACATCATCCTGCAATACTTCTGAATCCTGTGCTGAACCATTACCTGCTACTATAGCTTCGACTTCACTGGCCTCGATAGCTAATTTTACTTTAAATAAAAATATAACTGAAACCGAAATTGAAAAAACATGTACTGCTCCAATTTCTGTAAGCAATTGTACAAACTGTACATTTAATTTCAACATTAATAAATAGATTTAAAATACATCTTCCTTTTATATCAATTACCCACATTTAAAACTGAATTCTAGAAAACTCATTCCAAATCAATGCGATGTTGAAAATATCTGTTTTGACAGTTATTCACTTACCGTTCTAGAATGGTAAGTGAATTACTTACCGTTTTGTTAGCCTTAGCAATCAGAAACAAACATGGTAAGTGAACTAAAAAAGCTTGATCGTGCAAAAAATAATATTACAATAACGTTTACGGTCACAAACAGAACAGCTGATGAAATAAATCTAATTAGAATATACAACAAACATGTTTCCCTTGGACCTACCCACACTGCTCATAATCGCCTGATCATTTATTACAGTAATAAATGTACAGTGCAACCGATCGGAAAAATATATTTAGCACTATTCCAAGCAAAATACCCTTTTTTTAAACTGCCTGAACTTAATACATACACAGGACATTACTTCCACCGTAGTTCCGCAACCCTACTAACTAACTCCGGAAATGATTTACTAACACACTTAAAAAGCATGAACGTTGGCGTACAGGAGGATATATCGATAACTGCTTATCAAATAAGATTCACATTTCCCAAAAAATCCTGACAAACCCCAAACAACACGCTAGTACTAGAGAAACTAAAGTATTAAATATTTCCGACGAAATAAATGAAATGCCAGTTAATCCAGACAATTCCAATGAACCATCAACTTCATCTATGGAAATAAGTCACCATGCTGCTAGCACTGTTGTCAATAATTGTGCTCGTGTGTTATATTATTCTTTTCTTTTGGTTTTGTTTAATGCTACAGTTGTGTCAAGCATGCAGAAAACGCATTAGTAACCCTTAATATCCGCGGGCTACTAATGCTCATTTTCTACCCTTGTGACACTATTTCTACCACTGCCGTGAAATTGTCTCTTGATCTATCGGTTTGAGTTGTATAAAGCACACCAGAATTTGCTATAGAAAAAAATAACATACACTCGGTGTATACACCAACATTAATACTTACTTTGTACTTTTCTAGTAAATACCAAGCTCTCTCGGCCTCAAAAGGTTCAGGATCGATCAAGCGGCAAACTCCATCTCGAATTGAACATATCAGGCGTACCGTTTCTATGCTCCAGTGGAAAGAGTAATAACTGAATACTACTTTCGCTTCATCCGCTAACCAAAGACCATCGTAGTTAAATATATCACTGCGTAATAAGGCATAATGGCTTAGGCATATTCCCTTCGGAAAACCTGTACTCCCGCTGCTAAAAGGAATCGTTGCCGTTTCCTTTAAATCGTTCACGTATATGGGTTGGAATTCTCCTTCATTTTCTTGTGGTTCATAAAATCCTTCATTGAAAATTAATATTTCGGTATTAACATGAATAACTTCAGTGGTAATAATTTCTTTAATAGTCTCCAGCATTTCAGAAGTTGTTAGAATTATTTTCGGGTTTATTTGTTTCAGTATGTTAACAACTTCGGGTAAAGTCAATGCATCATCCAAAAAGGTTGGAACAGCTCCGACAAAAAAGCATGATATCATCGGAACACTTGCGTACAATTGGATCTTAGAATATATCACTACTATGTCTCCTTTCTGTACACCCTTATTTCGTAAAATTATACTTGTTCTTGCACACTTTTTTAATAATGATTCATAAGTTTCTTCTTGTCCTGTGTTTGCATCAATCTGGAATGTACAATAATTATATTACCTAAATTATTATTATACATTATAATAAAAATAATATGCAGGGTGGCCAAATGAAAACGAAACAGTCATTTTCAGGAACTGCGTCAAGATTGTAGAAAAACGCTCAGACCCATCGATTTTATATTAAAGGGGGACATTCTTTGCTGGTATTTTTGACTCCGCCACATTCACCCCCAAGCAAGGGTAAGCATCACCCCAAAATATTTAAATGGCATTGGGGGTTGAGTAATATTTCTTTCGAAAGCTCTTACAATTCTCTTTACAACAGACTTTAGATTTTATAATTCCGCCCAATACTTATTAAGAATTTTGATTTTAAAGCTGAAACTTATGTACAAACAATTAGTAACGGTAAAAATGTCAGTCATTCGAGTTAAGTACACCAATGATATTTAGTATTTGTTGCGTTACATTGGTTTTTGGCGATTTATTGTCACTTTCGTAAAAAAACACAATTGTAAAAAACAGAAATGAATGCTATACACACACAATTAACGTAAAATTAGTTGATTCCAAATTATTTTCCAGTATTATTTGGAAGCGTTGGTTGGTAATTTATTTAATTGTGATTTTGAAAATTAAACACTACTTATGGTTTATTCCATTGCGGAAAGGGTAGATATCATTTCGTTTTACTACTTTATGAACAATAAATGTGCGAATAGAGTTAGTAAAAAAATGTCAAGAGACAGGGAACGTAGCCAATAAAAAATGAGGAATTGAAAAACCTCTCGTAGTTAATGAAGCTAGTGAAGTTGCAGTTTTGGGACAAGTTCATCTTGATCCTACATTAAGTACGAGGCAGCTGGCATCTGTGTCCGGGATCAATCGAACTAGCATACAAACCATTTTGAAGAAGAGTAAATTCCATCCATACAAAATACATTTAATCCAGGAACTTGAGGATGATTATGACCGCCGTTTGCAATTTTGCGAAATAATGTGTGAGCGAGCAGGAAACGATCCACAGTTCTTTTTTAACATCTGTTTTTCTGATGAATTTTTTCTTGAACGATACGATAAATCGTCACAATTGCCGTTATTGGTCCGATTCAAACCCAAGAGTTTTTCACGAGGTGCATACACAGCAACCGGAAAAATTAAATGTATGGGCTGGAATTTTCGGTGACCGGCTAGTGGATCCTTTTTTTCTACCTGGTAATTTGACTGGCCAAATGTATTTGCAATTACCGCAAGACGCTAATGACCCTGCCTTGACTGATATTATTGAAAATGTTCCAGAGTATGATGAAGATCATTTGATTTTTCAACAGGACGGTGCTCCTCCGCATTATGCGTTAATGTTCGTCAGTATTTGGACCAACGTTTTCTACGGAATTGCATTGGGAGAAGAGGCAGCATTGAGTGGCCTCCACGATCACCGGATTTATCGCTCCTTAATTTCTTTTTGTGGAGATACCTAAAAAGTAAAATCTATAAAACACAGTCAGCGTCGCTGGAAGATTTGCGTCAAAGAGTCGTCGACGAATGTCGTCGAATCACTCCGGAAATGCTTCGGAATGTGCGCGAACGTTTCGAACAACATCTTTATTCTTGTACGGAAGCGGGCGGTCATCAGTTTGAACATTTAATCAACGAAGTAGTAAGTAAGCAACTAAATATAATTTAAATTTTAAAATGTAAATTTTTTTCAAAGTATTGGGCGGAATTATAAAATTTAGTCTGTTGTAAAGAGAATTGTAAGAGCTTTCGAAAGAAATATTACTCAATCCCCAATGCAATTTAAATATTTTGGGGTGACGCTTACCCTTGCTTGGGGGTGAAGGTGGCGGAATAAAAAATACCAGAAAAGAATGCCCCCCTTAATCTAAATTCGACCGGTCTGAGCGTTTTTCTACAATCTTGACCCAGTTCCTGAAAATGGCTCTGTTTCGTTTTCATTTGGCCACCCTGTATATGTTTTCGAAAGAAGTAGCACAAATGGTACCGGTGAAAAGAACAAATTTTGCATAGAAATGACAGTAAAATGTTCACCCTTAAGGAGATAGCCTCTCAAAGTTATCACTAATGAAATTTATAGAAAAAACATAAATCTAGCTGGCTCAGAGAATAGTGCCTTTTATTTTTGTAGTAGAGGATACAGGGTGTCCCACATAAGAACCGACACAGGGCAGGTGCATGTAGGGGTTATAGGTCATGGCTCAAAAAAAAGAAAATATTGCAGAAAAGTGACAATTTCTATTTACTAATTGACCTGTTTCAGAGATTTTTTAAAATCTGAACTGGAAGAAAATATGAATTTTGTTCCATCATTTTGGGATACAGTGTATAAAGCTATGGGCCTGCCTACATCATCTGTTCATCCTTCAGTATTGACCTAATGTTTGATATGCCCATTAATTAAAGACCCTCATAATGCTACCTCGTGTGAATTACATGAGCAAGATAAAACAGATTAATTCTTTGCCTTTCTATTGGGTCTTCATATTCTTTTAAAAATATTTTGTTAAGCAAAGAATAAGGTTACAATTTTTTTAATTTAGCAATACTACTTACCTCAGCTATCTGAAGACTGTGTCTTTTCATGAACTCAAAACAAAAATGCCCAACACCTCCTTCATACATTTGGTCTAGAGATACGTCATCAGTCGTAATTATATTTTTCTCCACCTGCATTTTACTTATGTAGATATTATTTTCCTAATAACAAATTATAAAATTAAAGTGTACATTTATGTATGTAGATAAAGAATTTTATAAATGTACTTGGATTTAAAGTGACAAATGTAAAGAAAATCAAAACGGGCAGAACATTTTTTGCATAAAGGTGTTTTAATATCGAAAACATTTAAAAATTTAAAATGTTGATTGACTGAGTTAATACTGACAAAATATTTGAATGTGTAGGAGTAAATGTTAAAAGGGATATGAAAATTCAGATAATTAACCTTTTCTTCACTAAACTGGAAGAATGCATTTAAAAACATATATATTGTGGCGATATTATTGCAGATGTTTTATATGATAGTGATCAAAAGTAAGTAATTGTTTTAACAAATAGTACATCATTGAAGCTGAAAATCAGCTGTAACCTCCGAATTCTTTGAAACTGCATGGATTTGCATGAAAATTTAGAATAAAGCTCAAGTTCAAAGATTTTCATCACTTGGCAAAAATAAGTAAATCTTTATAGAATAGAATTCGTTAAGATCTTATTGGTAATTCTCAAGCTTAGGATCTGTTGGGAAACTTTGAATATGAAACTGCTATAAGTACCTTTTAATTACCGCCAAGTCCTACTGTAGAACAAACTTCCTTACTTAAATAAACGGACTCTATTTTTAACAACACTAATACTTTTTTTCTTTACTTCGCTTTCTTCACAGGATGTCTTGAAATACATACATAAACTTTATTAAAAATCACTCGTCTGTTCTAATATGATGTCAATTACTATAAAGTTAATTGGAGATTTTTAATTAGAACATATTACGCACGTAATTGCATATACAGCGTGGTAAAAAACTTCTGCATAAAATTCATATTTTCATTAAACAATTTTTTTTCGAAAAACGGTGAGACCCGTCGATTTTTATTTGATCCAGGGCACCTTGTTATGTAGAAAAATTTTTTTTTTCGATAATCCACTTACGGCAGCGATGACATA